GGTTCAAGCATCGGGTACAGTATCAGCAATTGAAGCAAGGTGAAATGTGTGCACAAAAGTATTACTATTCTCAACTTTTTCCGTCAATCAAAAAACTACCTGTCATGAAGAAACATCTATGTAACCTCTGCTAAACTTGCTACAACTCGCCCTCGCTAGTACATGGCATGGATAAAAGTGTAAACAACTAATAAGGGGGTGAAACAATGTCCATCCATCAATCCATCAAATCCACGTAATTTCCAATCATTAACCATAACCAAATGGCCTTTTTCGTCTCGAAGCTGCGGAAAAGGTGATTTTGCTGGCTTAGAGAAGAGCCGCCGCAACAGCAATCACAGCCAAAGCTCCACCCGCCTTCTGCATATGCGCAGCACCGGCCGTAACTGGAACCCCTGTCGTCGTTGTGATAGGGGGAGGAATGATAGTTCCGATGGTGGTAGGAGGAGGAGGGGCGAGAGTGGTAACCGGGGGAGGAGGCGGTGGTGGGAGAGGTGTCTCGGTCACCGGAGGAGGAGGTGGTGGTGGGAGAGGGGTCTCGCTCACCGGAGGGGGCGGCGGGGGAGGGGGAGGGGGAGGGGCATAAGTCGGCGTGGTGGCCGTGACCGTCGAGGTAGGAGGCGGGGGAGGAGGAACTGCAGTAGTGGGAGGAGGAGGGGGAGGAGGAGCCTCAGTTTCCGTCACGGGGCAGATAGTAGTGCTGACCGGGATGGTGACAGTTGTAAGAACCGTAGAGTGAGCCGGGCAAGCGGTGTTGACTGGCGGGCAAGAAGTGATAGTGCGAGTGGTGGTGGCCCAAACGGTGCTTGTTGTCCACTTGCCCGGGAGGTCGACGGAGGGAACGCCGAGCGAGAAGGAGGGCTTCTCGCCGCCGTGGTATTCACCTCCATGGGCTGCCGCATGGGCTGCGAGAGTGATAAGGGTGGCTGCTGTGGTCCTCATTTTGGATGATACCTCTGTTGAAGAACGAGAGACAGGAACGAGTGAATGGTACCGTAGGCACTAAGGGTAGGAAAAGGAAAAGCAGAAAGATAAAACCAGGAGAGGGGGTGCCCGTTAAAATACCTATGCGAGAAGAGAGACTCCTGGATGGGGGGATAGGGGGCTGGGGAGAATCAGCAACGACAGCACGGCAGACAGCAGCAAGCAACAAGGGGCGATGATCGGGACCGTCCGCCCATCACCAAGTTTGTCCAATCCAAAGGCGCAGATCTCTCAGGGGGGAAAGCAAGTTTTGCACGGCTTTCTGTGTGGTATACATCATGTATGCTACCTTTATGGTGAGATAAACAAGGTCAGCGAGGTACCCTCGTATGTGGGAGCGAACTGCTTGGCGGCTAAAGAACGAGAGGTGTGCCTGGCAATCAACTTCCATATTAAGCAACAGAAGAAAAACGGATTGCATGACGGAGAGACATGCAGCACGCCCTGTCCTTCAGGAGGGAAGACAAGAAGCAAGCAGAGCCTGCAGACACCATGGTGTACCTATGGGATAGATGGATAGTGTAGAGCTCGGTACCCCTGAGCGGCGGCGTTGGGCCCTTGCGTCAACTGGTGAGCAGGTGCCGGACGGGGAATCCATGGAGGGCCTCCCTTTCAGACGATGTCACCCCCCCATCGCTCAGTAAACGATCGGTGCCTGCATTGGTTGTACTGGTGGCGGCGTTGGGTGGAGGGCACAGCAGTGTGCCCCTGCATTCAAGCACAATGGCTTGATGCCGCCGCTGAGCTTGTTTTTCTTCTTTGCCCTTTGGAAGCACTTGCCCTGGCGTCCTATGGCTGCCGGAGCTTGACACAACGACATCAGTGGTGGTCTGAGAGCAGAGACATTGGTATCAACACGGCCGGGGCTGATTACGACACAGCGCTGCGGTTGTGGTCTGCCTGTCTGAACCCATTTTCAACCTCCTGGAAACCTGGAGGGAAGCGATTCACTGCAGTCGGCAGTGACACGAACTCGAGGTTGGGACGGCATCCGATTCAGGAGCGGGGAATCTGCCAGACTATCATGCATCAGATTTCGTCAGCCAAGGGGAAACATGCCGACTGCGCAGTGCAGATTTGGCACATCAACACCCTAACAGGAAGGAGGGGAAACAATGGGATGAGTGTGATCAGGCACAGTCTACCGTTCGTTGGCTGGCGACGGTGGGCTGTAAAACATGCTGTCCTTCTCATTTCATAAGAGGCGAGCTGATCCTTAATCGATTCTTCATTCACCCAAATGGGATGACCAGGCCATTGGTTGACATGCGCGCAGCATTCGGTCGATCGAAGACACCCGGGTAGCACGACCACGAGGCCACCAGTTCGGCGGCCGAGTTGCACAGTCGAAGCCTAAGAACGTTTATGTGGAACAAATGAAGGCTCGTCGATGATTTGGGGGGCTTTTTCGGGCTTTACCTGTTGGGATCAATCATACTATGATTTCCGTCTGATGTTTAAACCGGACCTCGGATATCGAACCGATAACCACCTGGAAAGATAGGATCAAGAAGAGAGGAAGTTGTTTGACTTGTTTCATCGCTGGTGGTGGACTGGGGAACCCGGCTTGCTTGGCACTGTTTTCTGGGGTCACCTTGCTGAAGATCCGCCTGTGGCTGAAGTTTCGAAAGGGGCAGCGGGGCTCTGTGGCTGAAGCTCCGCGACAATTTGGGTGACGCGCGCCCGGACGTCACGGCGGGCCCGGAGCTTGACAATTGTGGACAGACAATCCAACTTGGGCAGACAGCTTGATGCTGTGACAATTCGGCCACATTTTGATTTCTATGTTGCCAGATCTGTTAATTTGATGCGCCCGGGCTGCCGGTAGTTTAGAACGTTCTATTACTTTTCCATACTATCGTTAACTGCGCAGGGCGCAATTATACGATTCCACGGACCTGCTTATTCATTTACTCTCTACGCCATCACAGCCGCTCGTCACTTGCGCATCGCCAAGTTGCGACACCAATCTTTGGTTAAGAAAACAAAAGCACAGAAGAAGGCCTACCCCGCAGGTTCAGGGATATGGCAGTCGCCGTAGATGCCGCGACCCGGAAAAGGGTTCTAAGGGTCATCTTTATTTCCCTACTGTTGGACTTGGTAAGCATTGTCTTGGGTCTTGAGGGGCGCGTGGCACTGTACATATACTGACAACTCTACTTGCCGGCAGCTCTCATTTACCTTCATTCTCCCCCTGTTCCCGAACCTGCTCGAGTTCTACCGTAACGCCGAAGCCCCGCTCGATGCTTCCGCCCCGGCATCCAAGACTTTGCTTTCCAGTGTGCTGGGATACCTCAATGCGTACAAGGCCGCCTTTGCACGACCCATTGAGTCCCGATATGATATTGTGCTCCTAGGCGGAGCTCTGGGGAGCTTGTTCTCGTATGTTGACCCCTTTTCGCTGGTTCCATGTTCTCCTATGTTGACCCTGTATATCCCTTAGTCTTCTCCAGGCTTTTGCCTCCCCCATCATCGGTCACCTGTCTGATCGTCATGGCCGGCGCACCGCTCTCCTTGCCAGCATGGCAGGCAACATTCTCTCTGTCCTTCTCTGGGTCATTGCCGTCGACTTCCGAACTTTCCTCGCCTCCCGCGTTGTAGGCGGGCTCTCCGAAGGCAACATCCAGCTAGCTACCGCCATTGCGACGGATATCTCCGACGACACTTCCCGTGGCTCAACCATGGCCCTCATCGGCGCATGCTTCTCTATCGCTTTCACCTTTGGCCCGGCCCTTGGCGCCTATCTCTCCTCCGTCCCCACTGTAGCTGCCAATCCCTTTGCTACCGCTGCCGCTTTCTCGCTCTTCCTCATCGTCACAGAGACCGTCTACCTTTGGTTTTCCCTTCCGGAAACCCTTCCTAAGTTGACTGGAAAGGACGTGAAGAAGACCAAGTCGGAAACCAAGCCGCTCCAGAGAACCAATTCTCACTTCCTGCTCAACTTGATCCACTTCACCTTCTTGCTCTTCTTCTCCGGCATGGAATTCTCTCTCCCTTTCATGACCTATGATCTGTTTGGTTATACCTCCGCCAACAACGGTCGTCTCCTCGGGTACGTCGGCCTTGTTGCGTCTCTCCTTCAGGGAGGTGTCACGCGTCGTCTTCCACCACTGCTGTCAGTGAAGACCGGTGTGTTGGCTTGCCTTGCTGCTTTCGCCATGCTTGGCCGCATTACCTCTGTCGGTGGGCTCTATCTGGCGGCCACATGCCTTGCGACCACCTCGGCTACTGTTGTCTCTGGTTTGAACGCTCTGAGCAGCTTTGAGGCGAGCGAGGATGAACGTGGCAGGAAGTTGGGTGTCATGAGAAGCTGGGGACAGCTTGGGAGAGGACTGGGGCCAGTGTTGTTCACTAGTGTGTACTGGTGGGCTGGGAGAGGAACGGCATACACGATTGGTGCCACGGGCATTGCTGTTGTGAGTGCCTTGGTGCTGTTCGGATTGAAGACCCCACCAGGTTCGGTGAAGGCCAAGACGAAGGCTGGGTCGAAAACCGAAAAAAGTGAGCTTTAGATGTCTTGGGACACGTTGAGTTTGGAGGAGAGACATGAAAGTTTCGTTGTATGTATTTCCATGTGTACATGTTGTCTGGAGAAATAATGTATGATATTCGGACTGTAATTATACACGAGAAAGAATATATAGACTTCAACTTCGAGAGAGGGATGGTGTAGGCAGTTGATAACACTTAGTCTGTCAATTTTCCTTCTTCGTATAGAGTCTGGAGATTGGCGTCTGCCATATACGCCCCTATCAACCAACAAGCGCAGACACTGGAGCCACGAGGAAGCCTTCCGACGCCCCAATATCCATCTTTAGAGATGGGTCTGATGGCATCCACAATTCATTCCACGTCTTTCAACTCGATCGTCCACCCAGCCGCACCTTCCCACGCAACAAGCTCTGACAGCCGCGCTTTACGTTACACGCAGTCTTTAAGCTCCGAGCCCAACCGGCAAAGCAACAACAAAGAGAACCACTTGCTTGACCTTCTCATGGTCAAGCGGTCTGCTTGCAGCCCTCGTAGAGAAATGGTAACTCGTCAGCCTCCTAAGCTGAAGATTGCGGGTAAGCTAGGGTTCGATCCCACTTGTGTCCACAATCCATACTGATGTTAGAGATTAGGTTCGAGTCCCGTCGGGGGTGTTCTTCCTTAACTTTTTTCTCTTCTTGTGTTTTTTATTTTTTTCCCTACCTCTTACCAGTGGCATCATCCTATCGGCGAAGGTGTAGGCAAGTAACGATTGACGTTGAAGAAGAGAGTACTCACGTGAGCCCACGTAGCTTACATAATGACACTCCCCAACCACCAAATCTTCAATGCTGCTGGTTGGTCAAGGACTAGCTCGATTGGGGAGAAATACCGAATGAGAATATCTTGTGATAATTGACAACATCTCTACAGTGAGATTCATATATCTATCACATGTTCCTTCAGTTCCTTACAGCCATGATGGCATAGTTGGACTTTACGAGCTCCCCCATCCGATGCCTCAACCGCTCTTTTGCTGACACAGAAGTTGGACCACGAGGGGTGATCCACTCGTCACGGGAGGATTTCGGTGAATACGCCGGGCAGACTCGGTCCCCTCGGCGAAGCGTATCACCACCTCCTTCATCCTCGGAATCACATCTTCTTCCGATTGACGAGCGATTCCGGATCCCTGCGGAACGCTTACACACCTCGACAGCCACCACACACCGCAAACTCGAGGGCTGACATTTGGAAGGAGGTGGGTTGGGCATAAAGGTTAGTGCTAGGTTCTAAGGCAGAATCGACGTCTGAACACAGGCTCTCGCACCTTTCAAGATGACAACTCACTCCGCCCCCCAAATAATGGGAAACCACCTGCTCCAACTTACAGCCTTCCTTTGGCTCTTTCAGTCTCCAGTATGGGCACTCAATAATGCATTTGATGTTCGAGAAGCCAGTATCGACAGTGTACACAATGCCCTTTTCACACAAATCAAAACCTGCAGAGAGGTCGTCTCCTCCTTCATTGCACGGATCGAAGAGTTCGACCCAACTGTCAACGCTATCATTTCACTGAATCCGGAGGCTCTTTCAATCGCTGACAAGTTGGACGAACGGATCGCCACCGGCAACGTCACGGGCTCGCTGTTTTGCATTCCAGTAGTCCTCAAGGATAACTACGATGCAGTCGGGACAAACACAACCGGTGCTTGTCTCGACCTTGCCAACAGCAAGCCACTCGAGGATGCTCCCACTGTCACGGCCCTGAGGAACGCCGGTGCTGTCATTCTAGGCAAGACGAATCTCCATGAGATGGCTTTGGAAGGCTTAACTGTCTCGTCTCTTGGCGGCCAGACGGTCAACCCCTATGATAAAACTCGCACACCTGGAGGAAGCAGTGGGGGTACAGGAGCAGCTGTGGCCTCCAACTTTGCCATCTTTGGCACTGGCACGGACACAGTTAATTCTCTACGAAGTCCAGCCAACGCAGGCTCATTGTTCAGCCTTCGACCTACAAGGGGGCTCATATCGCGTGCCGGAGTGATTCCCATCAGTTTCACCCAGGACGCTGTTGGCGCCATTGCTCGCAACCCAAAAGACTTGGCTGTTGCGTTAACTGTGATGGCAAGTGTGGGATTCGACCCAAACGACAATGTCACGGCATTGGCCCCGCCAGAGATCAGAAACATAGACTACTCAGCTTCGCTATACGGGGGTAGTCTCAAGGGCCTGCGATTTGGTTTTTTGGACGGCTTCTTGAACCATACGGCCTCTCCCGAGACCACTCCAGTCAATGATGTTATGGCTAATATGGCCTCAAAGCTTACAGGGGCTGGTGTCACAGTGGTCAACATTACTGAGGCAATCTATAACACCGCCACGCTTTTAGCACTTGACATACAAATATACGAATTCAGAGAGCTTCTCGACGCCTACCTCACACGGCCACAGCTCGGCGGATCCCCTCGCCCAGACAGCTTCGCCGAGCTATACACCAGCGGAAAGTTCCTCGTCATCCCAAGCCAGTCAGGCATGATCCGGTCCGCCTTCTTCTCATCCACCGCCAACGCAACCTACCTCGACTCCCTCCGCAAAATCCAAAACCTCACCCAGGCACTCGACGCAACTTTCGCCAAAAACAACCTCGACGCACTCATCTACCCCCAGCAAAAGAACCTCGTCGTCAAGATTGGTTCGCCATCACAGAGCGGTAGGAACGGGATTTTAGCTGCTTTGACTGGTCGGCCGGTCGTTCATGTTCCAGCGGGCTTTTCACCTCCCTCAGACGACGCGCCTATCGGTGTGCCGATTGGGATGGAGATTCTTGGGAGGCCGTTTACCGAGGGATTGTTGTTGAATATTGCCAATCATATCGGCGAGCAGTTCCCTGTGAGGAGGATGCCCCCTTTTGCTAATGGGACGGTGGAGGCGAGGGTTTACGAGACGGTGCCGGTGATTAGGCCGGATACGGGGAATATTCCAAAGGTGTATCCTATTGGGGTGTTTTGAAGGAGGGCTCATATTCTTATTAGACACATGTTTTATGCTTGGAATAGACTTGGAACTTCTCCGACATCTTAGACCGCACCTCCTCTTTTCTTTATCACAGGACTAAGTATCGTTGGCTTTCATTGTCGTCATCTCCACCCCCTCATTCTGGTCCTCGAAAGAGTACGGCGGCGGCGGCTTTGGGGGTTGGGGGTGGGATTTCAGGAATGGATTATTTGCGCTGGGGGTGAAGTGAGGGGGGTTGGTGGTGGGAGTGTGGTTGGGGCGGCGAGGGTAGGAAGCGATAGTGCCGTGGTGGTGATGTTTATGGTTTGTGTCCATCGGGGTGGTTTCATATTGGCGGTTTGGGGGGTGCAAGGTGTGTTTTGATTCCCATTTCGTAGGTGGACTCTCGAACTGGAGGGGACTTGGTTGTGGTGAGGGAGGGGGGAATTTGTTTTAAGGTTGGGAAGCTTTAGCCATCTGGAGCAGGAAAGCCCGCAAAACTTGGTGTGCCACATCCCTTCGAGGCGGAAGCGCCCTCATAAGAGGACTTCGCATTGGAATGGGCGAGTAAGACGTTCATGACCGTTTGGGGGGAGAAATCTGGTGATCAGGCGGAGTTGTGTGTTCTGGAATCTGGGAATGATGTGTATTAGCCCTATGGCAAAGACAGAAGCACTTGGTTATGACTATGACGGGTTGATGTCTCGCCGACAACTCGCACTGTGGCTAATGTCAGTTTGCCGGTTGTGGCGCTGTTGGAATGAGAGGAATTGAGAAGGCAGGTGACCCGGGGCAAACAAACGGTAAGGCCGCGAGAGAGAATTGCTAGCTACTCGAGATGCAAAGTTGCTCGCAAAGTGGCTCGACTGTTCGGGGTTCCTCGAAGTCTTGGTTGGGACTCTATACGCCCCACATTTCACATTCTCAAGAACATGACGACAGGACTTTCTCCAGGGTGATAAGGCAGTTCTCTATGAACGACAAGAATTAGGCCTTAATTCGGTTTTCGAGGCTGGCTGTTGTTTCTATAGTACAGTCCTTTACACCTTACACCATGCCCCCACTGGTCTCACCCCCCACGACTCCGAAGAACAGCTTACCACAAACGGGCCTCTTCCTCTTTGTCTTCATCTTCGACAGTTCGATACGGCGGTGGCGGCCTCCTTATCGGGAAGCCAGTAGTCTGGGGAGACAGTAGAACAGGCTCAGGGCTTCTGGGCAGGTTACTCGCTGCCTGGTATCGCACTGGACTCGTCGGGCCTCGATTGTGACTGTCGTTTTCAGAAACAACTAATCGGCTTTCAACATCCGCGCGAGCTGGGCGTCGTTGTTTCGGTTCTCCCCTGCAACACTTGACCAGGCAGTACATAATACCACCCACAATCGTCATCCAGAGAAATGTCTCCCCAACCAGCTTCCACTTCTTTCTCTTTCTATGGGGGCCCTTGTAATGGTCTGTCATACAACTCTTTGTGAGTAATCGGTCCCGAGATGACATAAACTAAAAGTAAGCGGGGCTCTTCATACTTATGCATAACAAAAACACCACCACCACCAAAAATATAAAAAGCCAAAGTGAAGAGGCAATAATCCCGGCGTCCCGTGCCCCTTTCTCAGGATCTGGAGCACCAGCTTTTCCTTTTCCACCGCCACCACCTCCTCCACCGCTGCCGGGGACAGTTCCAAACCCCCCACCACTGCCACGACCTCCACCGGCACCATGACCACCACCGCCGCCGTGGCCTCCGCCTCCACCGTGGCCTCCGCCGCCCCCTCCCCTAGGATTTGGATCTGGATCTGGATTTCAAAGGTTCAGGAGCTTGTTGATATCCATCGCCAAAGTATCAGGCATAATACTTGAGGCCGCTGCCGTAGTGGTTGTCGTCCTCGTCGTCGTTGTCATCGGAGTGGGCTTTGGTGGTAATATGTTGTGAGCCTGAGCATGAACCGGAAAAGGCCAACTGGAGTGGGAGCGCTCTGAGTGAATCCTGGCTGGCTAAGCCATGCTTTATACATTGAACTCCATCATCAGACAAGAACCACCTGGTCACAGGTCATGTGGAACTTCTTTGCTTCACAATCGTTTGCAATTTGTTAGAGAGTGGCTGAGCTGATCGGCTGGCCGGTTTGAGGCTTTGTTCATCTCTCGGATGAGAGTAAACAGTTGGACGGGTCGAGATCAGTTGGGTCAGGCAAGGCAATCGACAGGCAGTGCCAGCTAGGCAAGGTGGTCATACATCCAGGGAGAACGAAGCGCAATTTCCCTTCAGGAGAAATGCTTGAACACAGAAAGATGAAAAGTTACAGGTGTGTAATTGATGACAATCTCTTAGTTTGTAATATTATATTCTAATAATCGCAACCATTGGGCCTGGACAGTTCTGGGCACTTCCGAGCAATCCTGAGAAAGACCTTCCTTCAAGTGAGCATCTTTCAGTCAATTCGATACTGCGGCAGCAGTCTGTTTGTTGTGAAATTGGCGTTGCCTGGTTCAGGACTTCTGCTTTGGTAACTTCTCAGTCATCTCGTAGCCCGAGGCACTCGTGAAGTCTTGGCTGCGGTCGTTATTGTTGTCGGAAACAATGTTCTGGCCTTCGATATCCTCGGGTGACCGGTCGCCTTGTCTTTCG